GACGATATATTGATTGCACGAGCTAGCCAGTCCTTTTCTTGCTTCCATCCGCCTATTACTATTAGGTTAGGTGGGCCGACCTTAGGCTTGACAGCTCGAAGCTTTGTAATATAGCATCAGCGAAGTATTTGAGTAGCCTCTTGGCCGATTACAACGACACGCTTAATGACAGGGATTCTAGATCCTAGAAGGCCCCCTTGTAGATCAATTTTTAGCCGAGGTTGGTCCGGCCTTCGCAGGATCGTAACCATATTTACATTTAAATAGTCGGTCTGGTGATCAACAATCTCTTCAAAGACTGCGGAAGATGGTTCTTGTGTGACTGGTCTCAGCACACCCATTTTCCTGAAGCGATCAAATACTTCTCGGGAAACTTAGAAGTCTACGGTTACACCGTAGGTTCACCTTCTGATTCGGGGTTTACGCCGTAGTGGTAATGAATATACACCGGCGCTGCTTGTGCGGTCTTGGGAAATGGTTGCTTGTCAATCAACATCTGTTTTCCCTTTTCGGGAAACTTCAGAAAGCCTCCATCAATCTTGTCCTGTATTGCATGGCAGAAGGCTACGCAGTCAGCTATGGCGTGACTATTATTGGCAGCCCTTTTCTTGCTTACTAKTCAAGGCGTTTTCTTGATTCATAGCTCCTGTAAAAAAAGGCTTCGAGCTTCTATAAAGCTCATTTCGCTCTCTCCGCCTACACGATACACTCCCAAAAAAAAATAAGATGACGAGATCTTTAGTTGATGGACGCTCTAACCATCTTTCGGCTTGTGATCAATCCATAGAAAGAGTGGTGCCCCCTCATGGAATTTCTCATACAGCAAGAAAGCAAAGAAAAAAGAAGCAGCAAGCCCTGGGGCTAGGATTCTTTCATTAATACCATAGGGTTGTGGTTAATAAACAAAGAAGAAGGTAGGTCAAAGCTACTTTGGCCTGTCCTTTGCTCCTTTCTAAGAAAGACAGGGCCTCCGAGTCATTTTGCATGTCGGAAAAAAGACAAACCATGGGCTTGAGGCATCAGTCRTCTCGGTTCTAATCCGTATATCATCCAGGAACTCACTGTTGAAATTCCGGCAACTTGTTCACTTCGTTCTATTATATAATGGATCAGCCCTCATCAAGAACTCTCGCCAAATCACAAGTCTTCCTATTACGTTACGCCAGAATGCACAACCACCGTGGGCATTCATTCCTATGCCGGGGCCGGGGGCATGGCATATGAACTTGACTTTGCACATGCGTTCATCGGCGGTTGATCATGTAACGTCAAAGAAAAAGACCGCTTAATAAGACGCCTATTCGATCTAATAGTCGAACGAGGTACGAACTAGTGCTAGCTCGGGCGCGGTAACAAAGGTCCTCGCCAACCTCGTAGCGGAGAGGCGGCTTATTGCAGCAATTTGAATCAGTAATCATCAATGCATAAGGGAACAGCAYGAAGCGATGATATGCTTCGCAAGCAAATGGGTCAATGACTAGATAGCCACGGTAAGATGGAAGGCCCGCGCAAATGCCCTTAGAGTCGTCGGTCGAATTACCGATCAATTRTATTCTTGGATGAGCGGAACATCTTTGAGACAAATCATCTCCACCCGGGTACATAGCTTCATCCAAACCATGGATCCACGAATTGTTGCCTCGCTCGAGAATAGAGCTTCGTAGTTGCGAGTTCTGGGCCGATGAGTGATATGTAATCCTAGGATTAGAACTATGCTTTAGTACTTCCATATAGTAGTTAGATCTTTTCGATTTTTTAGATTTTAGGTCTTTTGGCTAGTCWTCATTTCCCTTTCTTCTATTTTTTCAATATGGATAGCAAGAGCATGAATAGGCCTACATGGGATGGAAGGAAGGAAAGATGGAAGGAGAGAAGGACTGAACGACAAAAGGAAATACATCTTTGTTTGCCTTGGAATGAATTGGTATAGGTTTCGGAGCTTAACTTAAGTAAGTCTTCAGTACGCTTTTAGTATCCGGATCGATAGAGACTGATCCCTTTCTACATACATAGCCCCACCCCACCAGATACATACATACTTTTTCTCCTTTCTCCCATAAAGCTTCCTTTCCTGAATCTTAGCTCTTATCTTTCTTATTTATTCTGACTACTATCACTTTATAAACCGGGCCTGGATAATTAAACCTTAACGTATCAGGGTAGTACGCCTGGAACAAGAAGGTTCGTCGTACAATTTCGGCGATTACAAAAATAAAGGAGTATATCCCTCTCCCTTAGTGTCTTTCYACTTCCGTCGTTCAGGAACAAACACTTCGCCTAATTCTTTTGAATCCCRGCCCGCTTTTTCCCCACTAACTAATTACGTTACGACCACTGAACAAACTTGGTTGACGAACATAGTTTATGCGCCGCTAATGTAGCGGCTTGTCGAGCATTTGACAAACTCACACCATCCATTTCAAATGGGATTTGTCCTGTGGACACACGAGCAATCCAACCCGTAKGATTTCCTTTTTCCTCTTCCCATTCTGACTTCTGTAGGTTTCCCGGTAATAGGGAGATCTGCAAGAACTCTTAACCATATCTTACCATTTCTTCAGAATTGTCTGGTCATAGTACGATCGAATTGCCCAATTATACCTCGACGCGCTGCTTCAATGGCTCGATATGAAAGACGACCAGCTCTACAACTTTTAGTGCCATATCTTCCAAAACCAAGTCGTGTACCGTCCGGTTTGCAACCCCTACTACATCTGCCTTTACGATATTTACTATATTTCGTAYGTTTCGGATATAGCACGTCCCCTTTCTTTTTGACTATATGAAATCCACACTTTGACACCTGAGATTCCGTAACGAGTAGATACTTCCGCAGGAGCATAATCTATTTTCTGGTTAAATACATTACTAGATGTTTTTCCATACTTTCCGCATTCAGTTCTAGCTATTTCTGCACCTTCTGATCGACCTGAACAACATATACGGATCCCCTCCACCCCTTTTTTCATTACTAATCGAATATCCTTCACTATTTGACTAAAAATGGAGCGAAATGATCTTGTTTTGTTCCTCGGTTGAACAGAGATATCTTGAGTAATCGGAGAAGCACTTTGATAAACARATTTGATCTTGACCGACTCAATTAAGGTATTAGTCTTTGTTCTATTAGACAACAAAGATCGCATTTTTTTCACTTCGTTCAAATAAAAGTTGTACCCGTACGGAATTCTTCTGTTTCTCAGTATGATCTCTATCATCATCTCTATTCCCTTTATCAATTCTCCTATCCCACCTAGGTCTATGAATTTCTCTATCAATTCCATTACCTTATCCTTAGCCATGACTTTCTCATCTGGGCTTTCATTCATCAATTGGTTGAAAACAATACAACCAAGGTGGGCTTACAGGGCTCATAAAGCCTTYCTTTCATTCATCAATAGGGCCCTGGTCGGTCACTTTTCTGGGCCGGGATCGATAAGTGGAATGGAAGTCATAAAAAAGATATCTTGATCTTCGCACCTCAGATCAAGAGGAAGGGTAGCTTGTCAAGCTGGCCTAAAATTTTAATTATTCTTAATTATTATATATAAAATATATAAAATTAAGATATAAATAAAAAGATTCGTTGTCTTTTAACCGACTGTTCTTCTTTGTCAACGCTACTAAGGACCTATAGGTTCGCAATAATTAAAATTKGTTATTTTAAAAAGAAAAGGCGCTATTTAGCCCTACTAGAAGTAAGCGGCTGAGTTAGCCTAGCCTACCCTAAAAGTGGTATAGTAGGGTAYAGTAGGCGAGCGAGTTAGCGAAGACGCTTAGGCTAATAGAAAAGATAGCGTCGGTGCGTAGCCTTCATTCTACTACGCTACGAAAAGGTTACGAAATCACTTAGCTCGACGTTAGGAGAGTCAAGGGGGAACGCCATACCTACATAGAAGAACCGCTGTTCGCTGACTTTCTAAGGTCTAACCYTTCGCCCCCTACTGAAAAGGGGCAATTAGCTTTGCACCACTGATAGACTACTTAAGATTCAATTCAAAAGGCCCTACTTAGTTTYGCAAGCCTTTGTCATTGTCAGTCAACTAAGTAGGGCCTGAGGCCCCTGTGAATCCGTAAATCTGAGGAGCATGCCGCAACAAAAGGATGGTCCCCTATGCGTTTCATTCTTTCCGGAAGGGAAAAAAAGAAGTACCCCCCATCATAGTGAACCTCTCCTTGTGATCGGGATGAGGTAGATGCCTCCCAGCCAGGGGGCGGATCGAATCGGAGTTTCCTTAGGTAGCCACYGACCTACAGTTATCCTTAAACTTCCGTGCTTGGTGGAGAAGAAGCGAACAAAGGTACGCTCGCTTGCTGTCTTGTTCTCTGTCGCGAACTGGGATCGCTCGCCAGCTAGGTCAGATTGGAGCAACATTGTATGAGAACATATTACCCATATTCGGGGACAAGGGGCGAAACGACCTCTCGATCTACTTACTGCAGCCCAGGAATAAAAACGTCGTCTAGGCGTTACCTGTTGCTCCGATCTCCCTACACCTAGGACATTGTCTGGGCCCACCAAGAGCCATAGTTAGTTGCTGTTTCCATTTGRTAGTTTTTTTCTCGTTGTTGATACCGGCAAGACCCAGCCAGATGATGTCTGCTGGTTGGTAGTGAGAGGACTCTTAGTACSTGCATACCCAAAAGGGGGCGCTGGTTAAAAAACAAGAATTTTTCTCTTTCTTGCTCTCCCTTAGCAGCGGGAAAGGAGTCTATCTATCTGCCTAACTTTGGTAGATTTCCCCCAAYGCAATCCACAGAAATTCCACGAATCCCTTGGTGGATAAGTCCGACGACTCAGCAGCAGTGCGGAATTTTCTTTCTCGTCTGCTGGATCTGATCTATAGTTAGGGGGCAATTGTTGATCCTCTCTCTCATTGATTTGTTGATAATCCMYTTTTCCTTTCGATGTATTTATGTATCTGTAATTTCAGTTCCAGCGATCATACACTGAGCTTGTTCAGTGATCGCTGATGAACTTGTTTTGAAATTCATTCAGA